GCCCTGGGGAAGAGGGGTCCTGGTGTCAGTCTGTTTTCTGAGTCCCCCATCCTGCTCCCCTCCCCACCCGATCCCACCCCACAGGCATCTACATTCTGGACCGGCGGTTCCGCAGCCTGGATGATTCCTGCTCGCAGCTCACCTCCTTCCTCTACAGCTTCTGCCAGCAGAGCCGGCGTCAGCGCATCATCCAGCGGAACCGCACCGAGCGCCTCTCCGACCTTCTGGACTGGAAATACTTGGGCCGGGTATAGACCAGCGCCCTCTCCTGCCCTGTGCTTCCTTCCGATTCTGGGTCTCTGGTTCTTCAGTCTCAAAGGGGCAGGTGGCTCCTCTTACTTGTAGAGGTTGCTGTCCCTTTAAGAAATTATTCAACTTCTGCAGGAAAACCAAGTGGGCCCCGATGGTCTGCTATTTGCATAACTGCAGCCCGAGAAACCAGGCTGTCCATTCACAGCTCTGCTATCTGCATAAGGGGCGGAGCCCGAAAAATGGATGATTGGCTCAGGCCACCTATTTCCCACCTTTCTCCGCTCATGGCACACATAAACTTATTAGTAAATTATGGGTCCCATCAAAAAATATATTTTTTGCTGATCTGACCAAAACAACAACAAAAAGAAGGTATAATTTACATTCATTCATACCGGACGGCTGTTGTGTTTGTGCTGTCTCACAGCTCTGCTATCTGCATAAGGGGCGGAGCCCGAAAAATGGATGATTGGCTCAGGCCACCTATTTTCCACCTTTCTCCGCTCATGGCACACATAAACTTATTAGTAAATTATGGGGCCCATCAAAAAAATATATTTTTTGCTGATCTGACCAAAAAAAAAAAAAAACAGGTATAATTTAGATTCATTCACACCGGACGGCTGCTGTGTTTGTGCTGTCATTTTTTTATTTGACCATCTAAAAAAGGTCAGCGCCCCTGCCTGGTCTCTTTTACAGTCAGGAATTGCCTGTTTGTTTCTGTTTGTTGGTTTTAAGTGTATTTGTATTGATTCAGAGAGGAAGGGAGAGAGAGTGATAGAAACAGCAATAATGAGAATCATTGATCGGCTGCCTCCTGCACGCCCCCTACTGGGGATCGAGTGGCAAAGCCGGCATGTGCCCTTGACGGGAATCGAACCTGGGACCCTTCAGTCCGCAGGCCGACGATCTATCCACTGAGCCAAACCTGTTAGGACAGGAATTGCATGTTTTATAAAAATTGCACACCTGTTAAAAAGCGCTGGCTTAGGGGTCTAGTGGAAATGCGGCAGAGTGTGCTCATCTGCATAAAAGGTGTGTTGGGGGCGGGGTCACCCTCTCCCGCATTTGCCAAGGGCGCCCCCCCATGTCCCTCTCCTTCTCTCCCCGGAAGTACTATATGTCTGCGCGCCACATGGCCCTGGCCAAGGCCTTTCCAGAGCACTTCACCTACGAGCCCCACGAGGCTGACACGGTGAGTTGGCGGGGGTCCCTCTAGTGGGCCAGGGGCTGGAGGGCGGGGCCGGGGGTGCAGAGCTC